GGGGAGGGGGGATGCCCTGTCGCCCTGCCCGACCCCACCTGCCCTGCCCTGGCTCACCTCTTGCAAGCATTCTGTAAATGGCTAAATTCCTCTGAGGTTCGCCGGGTGCCCCAGTCTTCCTTATCCAGGAACCGGCTCTCCTGGATCTCCAAGTCCCTAGGGTGGGTGTGCAGTGAGGGTGGGACCGGAGGATCAACAGGCTGGGAGAGAAGGGGTGGTCAGGAAGTGGGGGGCGGCCCAAAGCCCAGGCCTCTTCCGTCCTGTGCGGGCTTCCCCTCCGCACACTCCAGGGCTGAGTCCCGGCTCAGGCCTGAGTGTTAGCATGGGGGCGCGGTGGGGAGAGAAGCACCGTCGGCCTCCCTCCCCTGCACACACTCACAGCCTTACACTTCAGGACGCTTGGCTTCAGGGGTGTCCGCTGTGCTCAGGAGTGTGGACAGGAACTTGACAGTGGGTTCTGGTTGCAGGTCTAGCTTTGGCTCTGAAGGTGGCTTTGGCAGAGAAGGGAACACGGTGACCAAAGTGACATGAGGCTGGCGGTCCTCCCATACCCTGGAGTGATGGCTGGGAGTTCAGGTCTCCACCCAGGCAGGGAAAGAAGAGTTTCTCCAGTCTTCCTGCCACCCTGCCTGTCACCTCTGTGCCCAGCTCCCCAAAGACCTGAGGGTCTTCCAGCTTCTTCTCTTCAACAGGCTGCACCACTGGCTTCTCAACAGGCTTAGAACGGGCTCTTCGTCTGCCCCGAGGAGACTGAGGAAAACAGAAGCCCGGCTGGTGAGCTGCAGCCTTCATCCCACCAGCCTCCCCTTATCTGGTTCTCTAGGGGCAGACTCCAGCCTGGAGAGCCTCCCCTACCAGTTCTGTCCAGCCAATCAGATCCTTGCAAACACAAGGGGTGGGGCTGGGGGTGGGGGTGCGGGATGGGATGGCACCATGTAAAGGAACCCTAGAGAAACTTATAAAAAATGGAGAATCCCTCCCATTTTTGGCATAGAAATCGTCTAGGTTGGATACTGAGAAGAAAATGGTGTGGCATTCAAGACCCCCTGTTAGGGACAACGTCAGCTCTAACCCACATAACACTCCACCACCCTCGGACAAGCCTCTGCTCAGACCAGCCAGGAGCCTCACTTGCCGACACCATCGCAAACCTTCCCCAGTGCCATGCTTTTTCTAATGATTTTATTTATTTATTTTAGAGATACAGGAAGGGGGGGAGAAATAGAGGGAGAGAAACATCGATACGTGTTTGCCTCTCCTATGACCCCAGACGGGGACCTGGCCCACAACCCAGGCTGGGTCCTGACTGGGAACCGAACCGGTAACCTTCCAGTCTGCAGACTGGCGCTCAGTCCACTGAGCCATGCCAGCCGAGGCCTGTGCCATGCTCTTGCCTGTGATGTTCACCCCTCTCCCATTCCTGCCCCCTTCTGCAGTCTGAACTCAGCCCATGCTTTTCTCGGCTGAGCAAACTCCCCTCCCCTGGGACCCCCAGCTGGGTCCACAGCGGAGCCGGAGCTGGGCTGAGCCTGAGGAGGCTTCCCAGGTGGTATGAGGTCTCCCACCAAGCAGGCTTGAAGTAACAGCTTCTCCCCAAATCGCAATGTCATAAGTCAGTAGATGGAATTTACACCGTTTTTCACTCTCAGATTTTCCAGAATCGTACACATCTTCTGGCAGGATGAAGAGGCGCAATCCAGTTAGAGGACAAGCAGTGAGTGATCCCAGGCGCGTCCTTCACGCTGCGCTCCACCCAGGCACTGACAGGCGGTGGGTGGAGGCGGGGAGTCCACGAATGTGCTCTCCGTTTCACTGAACCTTGTAGGCGGCCTAAATGTCATCATTCCTGTCCTCACGACGTGAACAAACATCCATGGTCCGCGGTGCCTGCAGAGGGGCTCGCCAAGCTCCAGGGTGGTACCCATTCTGGGAAGCAGGGAGCTCTGTCATGGGATTTGATCCGTCCCAGAAGGATGCTAGCAGCGTACAGCGACACCTACAAAACTGGCCAGAACCTTGCCCTTCTAACTTCACTTTGGAAACTAGGTCTAAAGAAATGACTCCAGAGGGAATAAAAATAACTTGCAGAGAGGCCCACAGTAGCTGATTCACACCAAAAAGAAAAACTGGCCGAAAGGGCCCAAATAGAAGAAAAGGCAAATGAATGATGACTTAGGAACAAGACAGAACACAATTCCCTCTGTCGTTCACGGTTCCCACGAAACACAGACTGACTAGTCTGCAGGGCAGGCCTCAGGCCAGGCCCTGGGGACACACGGACAGACTGTGATCGGCTTCTGCCCTGGGAAGCTTCAGGGGACGCGAGAGGGCCAGGCTGACAGGTGACCGTAGTGTGGGAATGTGCCATAGAGAGGCCTGAACAGAAAGCCCAGTTCGTGAGAGCAGGGGCCGTGTACTCGGCCTAGGAGCTCCAGGCACACTTCCTCAGGGGGGTGCTGCTTGACCTGTGATGAGTGAGGTGTCTCGGCCACAGAGGGAACAGTTTGGGTGGGACAATGCCGAAGGTGTGGGGCGCTCCCGCTGTAAACAGGGTGAGCTGGTTAAATTTATTTTATTTTATTTTTAAAAAGGCTATTGTTTTTAGTTTTGAAAATTTTCTTTTTAGAGAGGGGGAAGGAAGGGAGAAAAGAGTGAGAGAGAAACATCAATGTGCGGTTGCCTCTTAAGTGCCCCGTACCTGGGACTTGGCCCACAACCCAGGCATGTGCCCTGACTGGGAATCGAACCGTTGACTCTTCGGTTTGCAGGCCAGCACTCGATCCTCTGAGCAACACCAGCCAGGATGAGCTGGTTAAATTTAAATGCCAGATAAACAACGAAACTTTTTTTAGTGTAAGCACGTCTCATGCAGACAGCTCATTTGCAGAGGCTGAGACACTCACTGGGCGGCCAGAACCCAGTAACCCTCATTATGCCACTGCATGGAAAATGGGAAGTCACCAAAGGGTGGGTTGTTTATTTTTAATTGTGACAGTACACAGAAAATAGACCATTTTAATCATTTTAAGTGCACAGTTCAGCAGCATTAAGCACATTCACTCTGCCATGCAACCACCACCACCACCACCTGTCTCCAGAACTTTTCTACCTTCCCACACTGAAACTGTGCCCATTACATAACTTCATTCCCCTCCTCGGGCCCCTGGCAACCACCTTCTACTCTGTCTGAGTTGCAGTTTTCAGTGCCTCATGTAAATGGAATCATACAGTAGGTGTCCTTTTGTCTCCAGCTCATTACACTTGCCATCATGCTTTCAAAGTTCACCCATTATGTAGCACATATCAGAACCTCATTCCTTTTGAAGGCTGCATAATATTCCACTGTATCTGTGTACTGCATTTTGCTTATCCGTTCATCCAGGGATGGATACTTATGTTGTTTCCACCTTTCAACGGTTATGGACCACGCTACGAACATGGGTGCACAAACGTTCCTCACGAGCCTGCCTGCACTCTTCGGGCTATCACACCCGGGGTGGCACTGTGTGCGTGTGAAAGGGCTTTCAGCAGGGGAAACAGCACCATGCTTTCTCTTAGGGAACGCATTCTGGCCGCAGTGTAAACAGCTTGGAGAGGAGAGCCGGGGGAGGCCAGGGCACATGTCCAGTAGCTGTGGAGATGGAGGGACAGGATGGGGTGATGGAGGAGATGACCCCCAGGGTCCTGGCTGGTGTGACTGGGTCAGCTTGAGGTGATGCGAATGGCAGGAGCACAGGGAGAGGCCAGCTGATGGATGAGCTGAGTTCCACATGGCTTCTGAGTTGAGACACAGGTCTAGAAGGTAATCCTAGACTCTGTTTTGAGTTCAGGAGAGGCATGGGCTGGAGAGAAAGACCGGCAAACCTTGTGTAACAGGGTGGCCTGGAGAGCCCAAGGCCACCTAGGGATAGCAAGCAGATTGGAAAGAGGTTCCAGGACTGAACTGCCACATCTCAGGGGAAGCAAAGAAAGGGGTCAGCAATGCCATGGCCCCAAGAAGGGCCTTCTCGGCCCAGGCTGCCAAGGCCTGAGTGCACAGCGCTGCGGATCAGGGGGTCACCAGTTTCTTCTGGCTGAGCAAAAAACGGGGTGAGGGCACCTGGAGGAAATGGGACAGAAGCAGAGAGCAATTTTCAACATTCCTTCAAGGAGCCCAAACTTGAGAGGTCCAATGGAAGCAGGTAAAAACGGAGACTGGTCAAGACTGTTTTGCATCAGGATGGTTGTTTGCAACAATAAAATGAACATAGCCTGTTTAGGACTTGTAGGAGAAAGAGGCGTAACCTCAGAGATGAGAGAATTTGACCAAAAGCCAAAGCGGAAAGCTTGGCCTTGAAAAGAGGGGCCTGCTTGCCTCTGGGTGAGCGAAGGAGGTAGAAGTAGGGAGGTTTGGGGAGGCTGTGGGGAGAGGTCAAGAATTTAAAGGCCTTGATTTGCTTGGTCTAGGAAGCAAGGACAAGTATAGAAAGAGACCCGCAGCCACCCTGACTGTCTGTGTGGAGTTGCTCAGGTATCTGCATCGTTGACCAGCTCCCCTCAGGCTTCTGCACTCACTGCAGTAGAGCATCCAGGCTGGGCCCGTGTGCCCAGCTGGCTCCTCCACAGGAGCCTGGCAGGGAAGGGGGACAGGAAAACAAGGGCTGGACTTGGGCTAGGGGGTAGGATTCATTCCCAGGCACTGGACAAAGCTCTTAGCAGCCTTGCCCCCGATTTGACTTTTCTTCCTGCAACAGCAGGGGACAGGGCTCCCCTTGAGGCCTCCTTCACAGGTAGCCCAGCCTCGGAGGAATGGGTGTGAGTGACTGGACAGAACAACATGGGGGGCTGGAGGCAGTGACCTACCACAGGGTACTGAGGCTAGGCTGGCTGGCAGCCCCCTATAAAAGGGACAACCCTGTGACACAGCCCAGAAAGGCTTCGCTTTCTGGGTCTCACACCCTCAGCTCTGCCTTTGACCCAATGAAAGAAACACAATCTCCAAATAGATAGAAACTCTTCAATCAGATTTATTTAAAAGAAACTCCAACTTTCCCTTAGAATCCACATTCTTAGTCTTTCAGGGACAGAGAGGTTTGCCGTGATGACATCAGCTCATTATCACTTGGCTACTCCTGATTCTGCAGGACCAAGATGTCTCCCAGGAGTCCTGCCCCACCAGCTGGTGAGGGCAAGAATTCTTCAGGTGTGGTCCGGCTCAAGGGCATCTGGCTCACCCTGGCAAAGGGACTTGCTTGCAGGATCTGACACAAAGCGTTGGGCAGGTAGCCTGGGGACTCTCAGGCCTTGTAGAGTTTAATTAGCGCCCACCAGGCCTGTGGCGTTTCGGGTAACCCAACCAAGCGCTCATCTTCCCCTAGCCCCTCCACAGTCCTCTTCGCCTGCACGTCCGCAACCCCGTAGATGTGCAAAGGTTCAACGACCTGGGGGACGGTGCAAGTTGTGGCCGGGCAGCCTTTGAAAGCATACCCCTTACCAGCAACGAGAAAAGAAAAACAGGGGGTGAGGGAGTAGGGTTCCCTGAAGACAAAGGGATGATCCCCTGGCCACTCAGCTCAACTCCTGGCACGTGCCTCAGGCACTGCCCTCATGTGAGAGGACACTAGGGAAGCTAGAGGTTAAACTGCTACCAAGCCCTGCCCCTTCCGGATCGTGAGAAAAGCTTCCTTCACCTTTACAAGTGTGACCGCAAAATGCTGGTGGGACTAGGACTGTTCGACCTACGAGTTTCTGCCCTGGAGCTGATGAGACTCTGTGCACTTGAGTTTGTGAGAAACAGTATGTGTACAAGAGGGGTCGCCTAAGGTTCTGTGGAGGCTGGAGCCTGTGGCACCTGGTGTCACACCCCTAAACGTACCCTTTGCCCCAGGCAGTCAGCCCTCCATCAGCCTGGCACTTAACCAAACAACAGCAGAACACAGAACTATAAAATACAGCTTCTGAGGCGTAAACGCCCACGATCTGGGACCAGCCAAGGTTCCCCACTCTCCTTCAAGACCTGACTCTACCGGCCGAGTGTCCATCTTCCTCACAGACAGACTGTCCCCAGTCCATGCCTTCTCCCCTGGACCATTGCCAGAGTCTAGGAGAAAACTCAAGCCTTTTTATATAGACAGAACCAAGCCACCAATAGGAGGCAAGTCAGGAGAAAAAGCCTGAGGCTGCTGCGGCCGTCGGCGCCCACTCCTGCTGGGGCTGGCACAGAGCGGCCACGTTCCCCCGAGAAAGCAGAGGCTCTCGCCCAGTCGCCAGCTCTGCACCCCGCTCCGGCCGGGCTGGTGAGTCCTCCTCCTGTCTGTGGCCCAGCGGGAAACTGGCCAGGGCACTGTGGGAGGCAGGGAGGAGCCAGTGGGGGTTCACTGACTAGAGCCAGGACGCCTGGCCAGGCGAGCTCTATTTCCCACAGCTGCATCGGCTGCCACCGCTGCCGCGCACACACTCAGAGGACAGACCTGGTTTGCCGCAACAGAACACGCACAGGTGACAAGGCCAGCGAAGGGGACCCCAAGTGTCTTTTCCACAGGAAGAAGGGGCTATGTACAGGGAGAAGAGGAGAGAGCCTGGCTAGGTGCACCCCATTTTCATCTCATTCAACCAGGAGATCAAACTGCTCAGCAGCTTCAAACTCAGCATTCATGGCTGCGGCCCACTCATCCAGCTCCGATTTCTGGGGGAAGAGAAACGGGGGACAGGTGAGTGGGCAAGGGGCATGTTGGCTAGATCTTTTCTACCCACACCCCGCAGGCGCTGGCTTTCCTCCAAAACAGCCAAAGCAGAGTGCCGGCCCAGCGTGTCGCCCACTGTGTGCGTGACGGCAGGGGCAAGTGCCTTGCCCCTCACTCACCAGGATCTCCGGCACCTTCTTCTTCTTTCTTTTCTCTTTCACAGGTGGGGAGATTCCAGGCAGAGTCGTGTCTGGGGCCCAAGGATTCACAGGGACCGTGGGGACTTCGGTTGATTTCAAACACACCAAAGGCGAGACTCCAGCCAGGTCTTCTGTCCCCAGCAACCCCTCGAAGCCAAAGCAGGATGGGCGGCCTGGGGTGGAGGTGGAGGTGGAGGCGCAGCGAAGGGTCTCCAGACGGCTATAGGATCTCCTGACTTTCTTAGACATTTCCAAGTCTCTGGTGTCCAGGTCTCCTTCCCTGGAGTCTGACTCGACATCCGGGTCACCCAGCACAGGAGTGGTGTTGGGGGTGACGGGGACACTGCGTGTCTTGAAGAGGTCCTCCCTAGTAAGCTCCTTGCTAGGAGGGTTGTTTTCTTTCTCCAAGAAAAATGCAAGCTGTACCAGGACAGGAGAGAGAATACCTCCCTGTTACTTAGCCGTATCACTAGTTACTTCCAGAAAGACCCGAGCAGCTCTCGGGTGGAAGGAAAGCTCCACAGCACAGACGCTTTTAAAAGGAACAGAGGAGACAGGCCGGGCAAGAAGTCAGACCCTGAGACCGAAGTGGGGAGGGGGAGAAAAAACAGTCGGCCATTGCTTCTGAGGAGCCTGCTGTTGCGACACAAAGACCTGCCACCTTCTGCCTCCAAAATGTGACTGGATTCTAGCCACCTCTCACTGATGCCAGCCCTCCATCACCCGTCATTTACACTAGTCCAATAACCTTCTAAGGGCTCTTCCTGCTTCCACTCTTGCCTTCTGTGGTCCACTTGTCACAACTGACAAGGATCTCCCTAAAGTGTCCATTAGGTCAGCAAGTACTGATTGGTCACCTGCCTGCTGCAGGCACTGGGAGTCCTGAAGAGAATAAAACAGAGAAGACCCTGTCTCTGTGGAGCTTCCATTCTAGTGGGAAAAGATAAACAGGGAAAAATCGTGTTAAAGATGGCAAGCATTCTGGGAAAAAGCAGAACAGGATAGAACACTGGACACAGGTTGGAATTTTTAAGTAGGTGAAGGTCAATGTAGGCTTCACTGAAGTGGCGTTTGAGCTACCACCTGAAAGAGGTGGCGGGGGAGGGGTGTCGAGTCATCTGGAGGACACGTGTTCAAGACAGAAGGAATGGGCGGTGAAGAACCTGGGATGGTTCTTCACCTGGGACGGAGGTGCGCCCGTCAGGGTCAAAGCATAAGAATGCCAGTGCAGCTGAAGCGAGAGCAAGTAAGGAGGAACTGATTATGGGGTGTGAGAAGTAACGGGGGCGTCACAGTGTTTTATAGGCCACGGGAAGAGGAGGCGCGGGGAGCCCTGGCAAGGCTGTGAACGGGAAAGGGCGTAATCTGACATGTGCATTAAGAGGTCCACATACTGACACTTCATAACCCCACTCAGCTGAGATGCTGCTGCTCAGCGCGAAGCTGCCCCTTACCACGGAATGTGGACCAGGCCCTCCTCACTTCTGCAAGCCTCTCTCTTTGACAGCGACTTTGTGTTTGTGCAGCACGCACTGCGATCTGGTTCTGGTCTATTCACTTGTTAACTGCCGCCCCTCGCGGAATGGGAGCGTCACGAGAACAGCGGACCTCACGTCCGGCTGGCCCGGCCTATGCCCAGCACCTCTGGCGGAGCCCCAAGTGCAGCAGCTGTTCAGCAAGCACTTACCGAGTTAACGTACAAAAACTTGGCCCTGAGCCTTTTGGCAGCCCAGACAAGGGGGAAAACAGGACAAATTTGATGACTATTGTGCTCAGCTAGAAGTCAGGATATTGGTTATCAGAAGACACATTTCCTGTCTACAAGTTCTGGGGAACATGCCCCTTGGGTCTTAGTAAAAGAGATGCCAAACAAAATGGGGGTTAGCCGACTGCTTCTTCCTCATCTCTGCCACTACGCAGTCACCCACGTTCTCGCAGCCTTTTCTCTTCAACGTCTCATGAAACTATCAGTTAACCAATAAGAATGAGTGGCCGGCCACCTCGGGGGAAGTGGAAGTCTCTTCCCAGTAAACCTGAAGGTCACTGGTTTGATCCCAGTCATGGTATGTGAGAGGCAACCGATCAATATTTCTCCCCCTCTTTCTCCCTCCCTTCCCTTCTCTCTAAAAGTAAATAAATGAAATCTTAATTAAAAAGAAAGAACAATGAACATGACAGTGACAGGGTAGGGGCAATCAAGGAAGGCTTCTGGGAGGAAGTACCCACTGAACTCAGTCCTGCGTGATGAGACACTTACGTGGTGAGCCGGGGTGGGCGGAGCATCACTGTGCCATTATTTACCATATTTTCCCATGTATAACGTGCTTCCATGCATAACACGCACCCATGTTTTGTGTGCATTATACACGGGGTTATTATACCCACAGTATGTAATCATTATACCCACATATAATGCGCATCCTTGTTTTCCCCTCAAAGATTTGGGCAAAAGAGGTGCACATTGTACACAGCAAAATACTTCAGGCCTCCACCACTTCGGGATTCCTGTCAAGTCCTCCCACCTGGTCTTGGGGTCCGGCAGCTCTGTTCCAGACCATTCTCTTCCCCGCTCCAAGAGGGAGCTTTGTAACACACGCACCCACGCTTAACTCAGTCACTGCTTCGCTCAGGACTCTCCAAAACAAAGGCTGCCCACAGAGCCAAGGACGAGAAGCCCAAGCTCCTGAGCGTGGCTGTCACGCCTCATCAAGACTCGTGCCGGCTTGGCACACTTCCTGCCCTGGCAAGGCCTACTGCGGACACGCCACACAGGCTGACGCTGCCCAAACCTTGAGATCTGTGTGTGTGCGGGTGTGGACTCCAGGTCTCTGCAATCACAGCTTCCTTGGCCCGGTACACTCCTACTTGTCTGTCAAGATTAAAGACTCCGTTCAGTGAAAACACTTCTTCTGTGTAACGCCCCTGAGCCATCTGGCCTGGGTTAGGGGCGCTTCACAGCACCCAGTCCTTTGCCCCTGTCAGCCCCCACCAGGCAATGCTGCATGGCTTGCTCATTCCACTTGCCCTCCACTTGGCTGTAAGCCCCATCCACTCCTCAAGAAGCGGTCATCTCTCACTCATTCTGTCTTCAGGCACAGGTTTTAATGAGACGTTCTGGCTTCTGCTAAGACCACAAACACATGTACACTTAGCTCACCTTACAGCTGTAAGTAAAACCCGAGGACAAGATTGAGTGGAGAAAAAGAATAGCCGGAGACACAGTCCCACTTTCAAAGGAGAATGGTAGAGGACACCACGGCGTGAAAAGGTAGCTACGTCTACAGGAAGCAAGCAAGGCTGGAGATGCAGGCAGGTGTCGAAAGGAGACTCCCTAAATACTGCCCGAGTCCCCCGAGCGCACGCGAGCAGACACGGCGCCCGTCCCCGCTCCACCGAGTCCTGCACTCCACGCCACAAGGCCGGCGGAGACGAACTCACCCTGGGGCTCCTTCGAGGCGAGTGGGCGGACGGCACCTGCGGAGACAACACGGGTCGGTCGCACAGCCGGCCCCGGTGTCGCTCCGCACCCGCCGCCCCGCTCTCAGGCCTCACCTCCACCACATGGGCCACGATCTTCTTCAGGACGATGGGCTTTCTGGCCGGAGCCGCGTCGGGAGCCTGGGGAGAAGGGGCGACCGTGAGTTTCGTGGCCGTCCAGGGGCCTGCGGGGCGGGAGCCGAGGACCCCCGGCTCACCTTCGGACGGATTTCAGGGAGGGTGCTGGGGGGGTCAGAGCCGGATTTCCGCTGGGATCTCCGAAGAGACTTAGTAGGAGACGCGGCCATGGGCCCTGGGGGAAAAGAGAGTTAGGAGGTGGCGGGGGGCTCCAGACCTCAGAGCCCGGAAAGCAGCGTCTGCAGAGAGCGAGGGAAGGTCCCCAGCAGGCCGGTGGGGGCGCCTTCGCGGGCGGGGGCGGGGCCGGGAGCCGAGCCTCCTCAGGAGGTAGGGGCAGGGCCTTCCTCCCGGACCGCGGACGGCGCCCCTCCAAGGGCTCGGCCCCACGTCCCCCCAGGGCCCTCCTCTCACCGGAGACTTTGGCGGCCCCACCGGACCGCGTTCGCCTCTCGGACATATCTGGCCTTGGTCTCGACATTCGCCGCGCCGCCGCCGCCGCCGCCGCCGGTGCTGAGGCTCGCGCCAACTCCGGAGGTTCCTGAGGCACAACGTTCGAACTACCCGCCCTGGCCGGGAGGAAGCGGAAGTGACGCAAGGCGGGAGGGTGAAGACGGTCGCTTCTCCCTTTCCTCACCCGTCTCCACAACTAGCGTCACGGAGGCGGGGCCAGGGGTGCGTGGCGTCATCAGTACGCGCCGCACCCGGAAGAGACGTGGCAGCGGAGGGATAATCCAAGCGGCCCGAGTTGGAAAGAGCTGAGCTGAGGTCGGCGCAGCGCGGGGTCTACTCCTCGGACCAGCGCTCCCGCTCGTCGGGATCGGGGCCGCGGTGCGTCGGTAACGCCGAGAGTGGGGTCTGTGGAGAAAGTGGGGGCGGAGCTCCGAGGGGTGGTACCCAGGAGGGGCCCTTGGGGCGGGGCTGGTGGAATTGGTGAGACGCTGATGGAGGATCCTGGCCAGGGGATGCATCCAGTAGGAAAGAGGGGGGTCTTCGGGGGCGGAATTTTTGTAGGGGGCGTGGTCAGGAGTGGAGAGGGGAGGTGGGCAGAAATCTGGGGCTGGCACCAATGACCGTCACGTGGAGTAGAAACGACCTGGGCTGGTGAGTGCCTAGTGGCAGCCACCAGTACCTGGCTCCCTACCAACTCTTCCCCAGGGTCGACCATGGGGCTTTGCAAGTGCCCAAAGAGGAAGGTGACCAACCTATTCTGTTTCGAACACCGGGTCAACGTCTGCGAGCACTGCCTCGTAGCCAATCACGCCAAGGTGGGGCCTGTAGGGGTGCCGCTAAGGGGGATACTGGGAGGGCAGACAGTATTGACTTCCTCCAAATTCATGAAGGGCCTGACGCTAGATTGGAAGCTCCGCGAGGGCTTGGTTTATTTGGTTCACTGCTATATCCCCAGCTATTAAGACAGAGTCTAACACACGGTATGTGCTTAATAAATGTGTATTGATTGAACAAACGAAAGGATAAGTCTCCTCTGTGGCAAGAGTTAAAGAGGCAGTTGGCCTTAGGGAGCTGGGCTGTGGAGACCCTGATCCAGTGTGACCTCTCTCTCCCACTCCAGTGCATTGTACAGTCGTACCTTCAGTGGCTCCAGGATAGCGACTACAGCTCCAATTGCCGCCTGTGCAACACACCCCTGGCCGCCCGGGAGACGACCCGCCTTGTCTGTTATGGTGAGGCCCGGGCACCTTAGGGGTGTCAGGACAGACCCAGCGCCATCACGGGTTCCTGGCCCTCCAGAAGCAGCAGGACAGTGAGACTGTCTAGCCAGGGAGGCTGGAGCCCTGGTTCCTAGTCTTGCTGGGTCATTTATCAACTGTATGAACTCAGACAAGTCTTTTTCCTTTTTAGACCTCAGTGTCTTTCCCTATAAATCAAAGCTCCTAGTTTCCTCCCTCCAATCTCAGTTGAGTGAGAGCCAGTCTAACTCGTGGGTGTGTTTGTGGCGGTGAGCAGTAGCTGGCCAGACCAGCCACGCACTAAAAGCACGGGGCTTTCAGGCATTCGAGGTTCATTACAGACTGTAATGTTCAACAGAGAGGAAATGAGTTTCCCATAGTCAGGTCTGCTAAAAGAAGTCAGGAGACAGGCGTCATGACCTGGACCTGACTCTGGTCCAAGAGCCTTAGCTCCACTTGTTGAAGGGGCGCTTGTGGCATCTTCTTCCCTTCCGCTGCCCCCCCCCTCAGTGGGCTGGGGAGCTTTGTAGCATCTGTTTCGCCTTAGTGAGGTGGTGATAGTCAATGAGGCTGAAGGCTTAGGGAACACTACTGAAGTGGACCTAGAGTGAGGATGGGAAGGAGGCGGCTCTGTGCTTACATGTGTGTGTGCATATACCCCTGCAGTGGGCTGGGGGCTGTTGCTGGGCTAGAGATGCAAAATGTCTTCTTCTTTATACCCCTTCTCTGCTTTTTCATGGGCCCGAAGATCTCTTCCACTGGGCCTGCCTCAATGAACGTGCTGCCCAGCTGCCCCGAAATACAGCGCCTGCTGGCTACCAGTGTCCCAGCTGCAATGGCCCCATCTTCCCCCCAAGCAACCTGGTTGGCCCCGTGGCCTCTGTGCTGAGAGAGAAGCTGACCACTGTCAACTGGGCCCGGGCAGGACTGGGCCTTCCTCTGGTGAGAGTCCCTCTGTCCATCCATCAGCTGTGGGTCCCATGTGGGGCAAATAAATGGGTGGGGATGGCACTGGGAAGGCTGGAGACACAGGTTCCTTCCTCCAGATCGATGAGGTGGTGAGCCCGGAGTCCGAACCCCTCAACAACTCCGACTTCTCTGACTGGTCCAGCTTTAATGGTGAGTGGGGGTCTCTGCCTGCTGTCGGGGCTCTTGCCTCCCTGCTCTGCTGACAACTGTCTTCCTGCCACAGCCACTGGTACCCCTGAACAAGGAGAGATAGCCAGCGCTTCTACCGCCCCAGCCTTCTACAGCCAAGTGCCCCGGCCCCCAGCTCCTCCCAGCCGCCCTGAGCAGCACACGGTGGTCCACGTGGGCAGTCCCGAGCCCCTGACCCACGGTGAGCCAAGGGTTGGCCCAGACGTTACCCAGGCCAGGGCAGAAAGGGGGTGGGGGGCTTCGCCTGTCCAGAGGGACTGTCCTGCGCTCCAAGCCCAGACGTTACCTCCCCGCAGTTCTGAGATCTAATGTCAGTCCGAGAAGGGGAAGGATCTCCTGCCCTGCCCACCGCCCCTGCTTGGGGCCCCTTTCCCTGAGTCTGTGGCTGCTCGTGACTCTGCCCCTGTAGCCTCGGCCCCGAGGAAGGTGTATGACACACGCGATGATGATCGGGCCCCAGGCCTCCACGGGGATTACGATGACGACAAGTACCGTCGCCGGCCTGCCCTGGGCTGGCTGGCCCAGCTGCTCAGGTACGCAGGGTCAGTGGGGCGGGCTGCCAGGAAGGTGGGGGGAGTGAGAGCCAGCGGCCGGAGCACGACGATTTCATGAGACAAAAGGGGTTTGGCCTGGTCCCCAGATTTGGGGGCTGCGTAGAGAGGCCTTAGCTGGACGGCAGGAGCCTTAGGTCTGCCCTCTCGGGCCGTTCCTCGGCTGTTAGAGGTGAGGTTTGGACTCAGGCTCTCTGAGGCCCCTTCCTGCTTCAGCGTCACCCGATCTGGTGACTGTCCCCATGCCTGCCACTTTCCAGAACACAGGCGTTGCCTCTGCTGGTTCAAGCTGCACAGTCACCCTTGTTAGTGGTGCAGGGACAGGGATGGCTGCACACTGAGGAGAGGAGGCTCGGGGATGGTGGCGCCGGGGCCGGAAGACGAGTGTCATGACCAGGGCTCCTCTCCAGGCCACGGGGACCACCAGGGACCGGGGGCCTGATCTGACTTTCCCCTCGTCCCCCCAGGAGCCGGGATGGGTCTCGTAAGCGGCCGCTGACCCTGCTCCAGCGGGCGGGGCTGCTGCTGCTGCTGGGGCTGCTGGGCTTCCTGGCTCTCCTCGCACTCATGTCTCGCCTGGGCCGGGCTGCAGCTGACAATGATCCCAACCTGGACCCACTCATGAACCCTCACATCCGTGTGGGACCCTCCTGAGCCCTTGCTTGTGGCTGGGCCAGCCTAGGACCTGGGGGCCCGAGGAGGGGAGGTTGGGAGGTCTGAGGGCCTTTCTCTGCTCCTCTCTCTCAAGCCCGAGACACTAAGATCCCAGGCCCAAAGCCAAGGCCACTAGAGTGGCTGCACGCTGGGCCTGAGGATGCTGCAGATCAAGTGTTTGTCTTGACCTGCTTCCCCTGGGTCTCTGGCCTCCCACTCGCAACCCACGAAGGAGCTGACAGGTGGAAATAAATGGCAGACTTTATTAAAATACCCAAAGCCTCCTTTTCCTTCCCCCCTTCTCAGCCCAACCCCCAAGCTTCAGTGGGTCTCCTCCCGGTACTGCATGGCCAGAAACTCCAGGGACAGGCGGATGAAGAATATGGCTCCACTGAGCACTGAGCAGAGGAGAGAGTTCGCATCAGCCTTTCCTGCCCCCTCCTTGTACCTTCTCAGGGTTCCAAAGCTCCCCATTTCCCCACTCACTCAGGACGGTCAGGGCAAAGCACCGAAGAAACTTGTCTTCTCTCAACTCAGCGTAGAGTGACCCCATGGCGGCCCAGCAGATGCCGATCACCTGGCAGAACTATAGGCCCCACCCAGTGGGACTGGGAGAATGGCCCCTTGACACAGCAGTGGGGTTTCCATCAGCCCCTGGGCCTCCCCCAACCAGCCCTTGAGGCCCTACCTGACCTACCATCACGACAACTGTGTAGCGAAAGGTCATGCGGTCATAGCGGTGGGTGAAGCAGAAATTGTTCACGTCACTGATGAAGACGCTCAGGTGTATGAAGAAGAGTAGCAGTGCAGCCATGGTGAGCACCATGCCTTGTGGGAAGAAGAACACAGCCAAGCGGTCCCGCCACTGCATCCTGGCGGCAGCACAGACTCCAGCCGGACGGGAGAGCTTGAGCAAGCTGACGATGCCCTGGAAAAGCAGCTGACCCCTCTGCTTCTAGAATGCACAGTCTGGAATAGCAGTGGAGTTCTAGAACCAGGACATTTGAGGGGGCAAGATTCTAGAACACAGGCTGGTTCCAGCCAATACAGGAGTGTTTCATGGGTGGCCAGGGGAGTTTGGAATTTGGAGGTGTGGTGGGCTAACGGCACAGATCAGTGGGGCCCGTGGTGTGGAAGGGACAGTGTCCCAGTCACCCCACCTACACTGTGCGCTCTTGTGCATGTCCTATCGCTGAGCCCTCTGGGCAGCCCCGCTGAGGAGTTAGTGGAAAAGGGGGGCATGTCTCAGGTCCACAGCAAGAATTAGGCAGATAAGAGGTTAGGACTCCAATGTACAGCTGGAGGGCATTCCCAGGTGAGGGGAGGCCTGGGCACGTGAGCTCAAGTATTTGCTTCAACACCTAGTGGAGAAGAGCTAAGGGAAGGAGGGGGGACATCAGGTTTCCCATAGCTGACCTAGGACCTTCCTCAGCTGTGGCCCTGAGAGCACCTGGCTTCTCAGTGTCCCTGGATGTTCTCCAAAGGGCCTGACTCTGACCAGCTTCCCCCTCTGCCACCTTCCGGCACTCAGCATTTTCACACCCATCGTGATTGTCATTCCTACAGCCCCACGACAAAGCTGGGGCTGGTGGTGTAAATCCCATCTGACACACAAATTGGAGGCACAGAGAGGGACCGTGAGCTCAGGCTTTTGCAGCCAGTGAGCAAGGGAATCAGTACTGGGATCAGACTATGATCCAGCTCAACCTGAGGCTGTGCAAGCAGCAGGGAAAGCTAGGAACCAAGAAGAAAACATTTCTTCCTTACGTGAAAGAGGTGAAAACTCCAAGACTGGCGACAAAATAAGCCAGAGAAATGGCCAGAGATGGCGTGGAGGGGAATGCAAGCTCTGAAAAGCTAAAGTAGAAGAACAGGGAAATCTTGAGGTTGAACTTGGCCATCCCCTTTGCCTCCTGCCTCACTGTTTGCCCCGTAAGTTAGGTCCCAGGTCAGTCCAAGGCCCAAAGTCTTCTGCTTCGTGGGGGTAGGGTCGGAGCCTGACCTCACCATCCATACTTGCTGCCTAGCATCCTTAATCACAGTGGCCCCTCGGGCCCCCATCCTGACACGCTAATACAAGGGGTGATGCCCCAGTGCCCAGCTACGGTCCCACTGTGGAGGCAATTGTTGGCACCTTAGTTCTCATTTGAATACAAATATTTCTAAATTAGGGGTTTTAGTTCAAAGCCATTGTTAGTAAGCATCTTTGGGATCTTTTCTTGATATAACTTCATACACCTACATGCTCATACACAAGGATAGCTTTAAAAAACATTTTTTAAAAGATTATTTTTAGAGAGGGGAAAGAGGAAACCGTCAATGTGTGGTTGTCTCTTATGCGCCCCCTACTGGGGACCTGGCTCGCAACCCAGGCAGGTGCCCTGACTGGAAATCTAGCCAGCCACCTTTCAGTTCGCAGGCTAGCACTCAATCCACTGTGCCACGCCAGCCACGGTTTAAAACAAAAATTTAAAATCACACCATATGGGTGTGCTCTCCCTCCCGGGGGCACGCCCACCCCTTTTCCTTGCCCCTCTTCTTCCCGCGCAGGCGTGCGTCTCCTACACTCTAAGGGTCACCACGAAACTCCTAACCAGGGGAACAATGGGCAGCGGCAGCTCATCTGGGCTAACCCCCTGAGTCTGTCCCCAAGGCCCACTTTTCTCTGCCTCTCCAGGGAGCTGACAGCAGCCCTGCCTTGACGCGCTCCTTTCCCATGACATTTCTAAAGAGCCAAAGCAGCCCCCCCTCCTATCCTCGGCCCTTCCTTGTTTCACTGTCCCCAGCTTGAATAAATGTACCTTTAAAAGTTTTTTTAAAAATCCCATCATATGCATTGTCAAGGGAAAACCTTCCAAAAGTTAAAAACATGATGTCTAGATACTGAATGAACATGTAACAGATGGATTAACTCATCAGTGAGGGGATTCCCCCTTAGGTGGTAATACATCTTGAAGAGCTGGATATTAATAGGCACTTAAAGAGGAGTTAGACTATGATTACTAGATTAGATACAAAACTGATTGATATCCTACAGGACAATACAATTTTTAATTAAAATAATTGTTAGGTTATTTTTTCTACTAGATATGTTTTGCATCTCTCCTGGAAAATAACTGCTTGTAATTTCAGAGTCTGAACTCTTAATAGTAAGTATCAAAGTCAAACAAATGTATATTCCTGTGGGTAGTTAAGTAATCCTTGGGTGGGCTTGTGGAATAATGGTCCAGCCCTGACTGGTGTGGCTCAGTGGGTTGGGCACCGTTCCACAGGAGCGAAAGGTCGCTGGTTCGATTCCCGGTCAAGGCATGCCTGGGTTGTGGGTTCAGTCCAGGTTAGGATGTGTGTGAGAGACAACCAATCAATGTTTATCTCTCACATCAATGTTTCTCTCCCTCTCTTTCTCCTTCCCTTCCCCTGTCTCTAAAAATAAAGATAAAATCTAAAAAAGAAAAAAAAAGGCCCAGTGTCAGTATGACACTCAAAGAACCTTACTACACTTTTGGTCATATTTGCAAAGTTTGGATGATTTTCATTAGTATTCTGCATCCCTTTAAAAAGTTTATAGGCTTCTTGGGGTAGATCTAAATCTATGCGTTTCTTCATCTTAAGATTATAGTTTCATGGGCTGATTACATGATTACATGAAATACAATTTTCATGTATCATGAAATATTTTGTCAACCATTTAAAAATAAAAAAATTATTTCATAGGCCACGTGAAAACTGGTGGTGAGATGTGTTTGACTCACAGGACCCCCACCAAAGAATAATTAGACAAGATTGTTTCCATTCTACCACCATCTCCCCCTCCCGCCAGCCCATCATACATGATGTTTCAGGACCACGTTGATAAAAGTCCTTTGTTCCATTCAATGTCTCCGTTTGAACTCCAGGTCATTCCCTGTCCTCTTCAGCTTTTCATCTTGGTGAACAGCTGCACCTTTGACCAAATCAGGAACCCGAGAATTATCCTCTAATCTCCACTCAACCCCTCACTCAGCACATCCTGTCAACGTAAGATCTGCCAGGTCTGTCCTCTAAACACTGTATATTTAAGTGCACTGGAACCCCTTGGGGACGTATTAAAAAAAAAAAAAAAAAGCAGCAGCAGCAGCAGCTAGGTCTAGCCCTGGCTGGTGTGGCTCAGTGGATTGAGGGCCCCCACAACTTGGTAAGTCCCTGGTTCCATTCCAAGCCGGGGCACATGCCCTGGTGCAGGCCAGGTCCACAGTTGGGGGTGGTCCAGAATCAACCACTTATTTCTCACATGTTGATATTTCTCTCCCTTTCTCCCTACCTTCCCCTTTCTCCAAAAGTGTAAATAAAATCTGTTTTAAAATATATTTTATTGATTATGGTATTACAGTTGTCCCATTTTTCTCTCCCCTTTATTCCCCTCGGCCCTGCACCTCCCCTCCCACCAGCATTCCTTCCCCTCTTAGTTCAAGTCCATGGGTCATACATATGTTCTTTAAGAAGCACAATGGTAGGTACAAAATAGACAGGGGCAGGTTAAGAACAGTATAGGAGATGGAGAATCCAAATAAATAAAATCTTTAAAAAGAAGCTAGGTCTGCCCTGACATTGTCCCTCCTGTTAAGGGCACATGTCTGGGTCACGGTTTCGGTCCCCAGTCCAGACGCATGGAGAGGCAACTCCCTTTCTTTCTCCCTCTCTTCCCCCCACCCTTTAAAAATAAAAGTAAATAAACCTTTATTAAAGAAGCAGCAGCAGCAGCAGCAGCAGCAGCAGCAGCAGCAGCAGAGGCTGTATCTGGGCGAAACCCAGAATCTTAAAACGCACCACAGGTACTTCTGAAACACGTCGGAGAACCAGGCCTCGAGAGACTGCACCTTTGCACCGTGAGGCTTACTATATGTGCATTTAATCCTCGCAGCTCTCCTGTGAAGTATGTACCCCAGTTTTAGGAACTGAGGTGGCAACTGAGCCGCAGCCCAAGTTTTACAGCCCGGCTTTACGCACGCTCTCCGGCTTTACAGCCCGCGTTCGGTGCACTGCATCTAAGGACGTATTTCGCGGACCCTTGCCTGTGGGGGTGCGGGGAAGTGGGGTTGGGAGCCACTACCCGCCCTCCTTTTGGGAGGGCAGCAACCCGATGAATTTCACAAAGTTCTTCCATTTGAGAAGCTGGGGGGAACCAAGGGCTCTCTCGAAACCTCTTCACTCAGTGGCGGAAAGATGCCGCGGAACTCTAGTCTCAGACTCGGGACGGTGGGGGAACGATTTACCTGAAGGACTGCCTCGTTTCAACAACAACTTTATGGTTCCCGGAAGTGCCTCCTCCCAGTCCCCTTCCCAGTCACACGCCGGTGGGCTGGGGTTGGAGCGATGGCGGCGGCAGCCGCTGGGCCCAGCCCAGGCTCTGGACCTGGGGACTCCCCGGAGGGGCCGGAGGCGGAGGCTCCGGAGCGTCGGAGAAAGGCACACGGAATGCTGAAGCTTTACTACGGCCTCTCGGAGGGGGAGACAGCGGGGCGCCCTGCGGGGTCGGACCCCCTGGACCCGACTGATCTCAACGGGGCTCACTTCGACCCGGAAGTGTATCTGGATAAGGTATGTTTATGTGGGGGGAACCAGACCCCCCCAGTGTATTGCACCCCCAGATCATGCCTCCCACTCTGTTGCGGGGGTGAAGGGAGCAGGGATTCGTAAGAAGAAGACGGCCGCCGGCCGGTACGACCTCGGCCAGGCAGTTGGAACAAAGCTGGAGTCGAAGGGCGAATGTAAAGACCTGAGGTTGTGCGGGGTCCGAGGTCTCCTAATGTTCTGATCGTCTCAGCAGAGGGGGCGTGGCCCGGGCGCTGACGGGCACTGGACTGGCCCTTGGTCTGAGGATTTCAAATGCTGACAGACCCCAAATATGGTTCCCCAAACGCAGTAACTCCTGAGCTATGCCGGTTATAGACTCCATTTTGCGATTCCTGACGGGTGAGGAAAGGGTGTTCTTGCACTGAAAGCCTTCCAGTTAAGGACAAGGCTTGGGGACAGGAGTACCTCTCACCTGAACACTAAACATCCGATTTCCTCCAGCTGCGTAGAGAGTGCCCGCTGGCTCAGCTGATGGACAGTGAGACGGACATGGTGCGGCAGATCCGGGCTCTAGACAGTGACATGCAGACCTTGGTCTATGAGAACTACAATAAGTTCATCTCAGCCACAGGTGATTCCCACTGGGACACACCCCTCGGTCCCCCCTCCCCTGTTCCTCCCCCTGCGTAAGGGTTAGTTTCTTTCATTAGTGGTAGCCTCCATCTCTGGTCCAGGTCTGTCTTGAGGATGGGCTTGCCTCTTCCTTCCTTTTTTTTGTTTTTCCTTCCTTCCTTCCTCCCAAGAAGCAGGGGTCTCAAAGGGAGGAGGAGTGGAGCCTGTCTGGAAGCGTTAAGGGGCCAGGCCCTGAGGCACCTGGATGTGAAAGGGAGAACAGCCTCCTGGGGCAGGTTTCTGTTGGAACGAGAGGGAAGGGACCCTGCAGAGAAGATGGACCGTGTTCCAGAGGGCGGAGTGAAAAGGTTTGGGAAGTCTGGGAAGGAGAGAAAGGTGAACAAGTGTTTATTGTCTCCCCAGTGCCAGGCACTGTACTGGGTGTGGAGGATCCCCCTGGGAATAAGCAGATGTGTCTCTGACAAGTGCCCAGTGCCCTGCTCTGGGCCTGGGCATCTCTGAGGGCAGGAGCTGCAGCTTCGTGGGCTGCTTGCCCACAGCACAGTGCCAGGGTGCACACGGGGGATGCTTGGAAAACACCTGCTGCGCTGACAAAATGACCTCCCTCCCCATTTACTGTGACCAAGCACCACGGCAGCCCGGATCACCAAAACATCAGTGGGACCCTCCAGTTTCAGGCTCAGGCGTGTTTGGGAAGGGCGCCAGTGTGCGTGAGAACACCTGGACCGTGCTCTCAGGCTGTGTGCCGTGCCTGTTACTGCCCTCCCCCGCATCTCCTTTTCTCACTTCTGCACCTTTGCCCTCCCAGACACCATTAGGAAGATGAAGAACGATTTCCGGAAGATGGAGGACGAGATGGACCGGCTGGCTACCAACATGGCTGTGATCACGGACTTTAGTGCGCGCATCAGCGCCACGCTGCAGGACCGGCATGAGCGCATTACCAAGCTGGCAGGTGGGCCGTGCCCCAGAGAAGGTGCTAAAGTGGGCCACCCTCGGGGCTTTGGGGCTAACGTCACCTGCCCTCATCCCCAGGGGTCCACGCTCTGCTGAGGAAGCTGCAGTTCCTGTTTGAGCTGCCCTCGCGCCTCACCAAGTGCGTGGAGCTGGGCGCCTACGGGCAGGCGGTGCGCTACCAGGGCCGCGCGCGGGCCGTGCTGCAGCAGTACCAGCACCTGCCCTCGTTCCGTGCCATCCAGGACGATTGCCAGGTCATCACAGCTCGCCTGGCCCAGCAGCTCCGACAGCGTTTCAGGTGTGGCACCTGGGTCCTCACCTCACCCCTGCCCAGCACTTTCCTGTCTCCCCCAGCCCCACCCCGGATTCTGTCTTCTTGCACTTCCCCGCCGTCTTCCTCCTGGCAGGGAGGGCGGCTCCGGGGCTCCCGAGCAGGCGGAGTGCGTGGAGCTGCTGCTGGCCCTGGGCGAGCCTGCGGAGGAGCTGTGCGAGGAGTTCCTGGCACACGCCCGAGGGCGGCTGGAGGAAGAGCTGAGAAGCCTGGAGGCGGAGCTGGGGCCCTCCCCGCCAGCCCCTGATGTGTTAGAATTCACCGACCACGGAGGCAGTGGCTTTGTCGGTGGCCTCTGCCAGGTGGCCGCAGCCTATCAGGAGCTGTTTGCAGCCCAGGGCCCAGCAGGTGCCCACAAGCTGGCAGCCTTTGCCCGGGAGCTGGGCGGCCGATACTTTGCACTGGTGGAGAGGCGGCTGGCGCAGGAGCAGGGCGGCAGTGACAACTCACTGCTGGTGCGGGCACTGGACCGCTTCCACCGGCGCCTGCAGGCCCCTGGGGCCCTGCTGGCCGCAGCTGGGCTGGCCGAGGCCGCCACGGAGATCGTGGAGCGAGTGGCCCGTGAGCGCCTGGGCCACCACTTGCAGGGCCTGCGGGCAGCCTTCCTGGACTGCTTGACCGATGTGCGGCAGGCACTGGCCGCACCTCGCCTGGCCGGGAAGGAAGGCCCTGGCCTGGCCGAGTTGCTGGCCAACGTGGCCAGCTCCGTCCTGAGCCACATCAAGGCCTCGCTGGCGTCTGTGCACCTCTTCACCGCCAAGGAGGTGTCTTTCTCCAACAAGCCCTACTTCCGGGTATGGCCTGCCCCTTGGCATTTTTTTTCCTGGGCATTATTTTATCATTCCACAGCCTGGCAGCTGCCAGGGCACTCAGTCCTTGCCCCCCAGGCCCCCCTAGGGTGTGGTTTCAGGCTGGCAGGAGGAAGGCTGGCACAATCTGAAGGGGTGGGGAAGGCTCCAAGGGCAGCTGCAAGCAGGGTCCCCTGTGCCAGTCCCTTCCCTAAGCAGGGCAGCTGCTCTGGGGTACTGGAGTGCAGGGGGGAGCTGTCCCTTGGAGAGGGGCCAGGGCATTTAGGGTTCCTGTTTAGCAGAGCGTCACTAGCAGCCCCTGCCTGGAAGAGGGGACCTGCTGTATATCTGGGCCTTTCCTCCTCACAGGGCGAGTTCTGCAGCCAGGGTGTCCGTGAGGGCCTCATCGTGGGTTTCATCCGGTCCATGTGTCAGACGGCTCAGAGTTTCTGTGACAGCCCTGGGGAGAAGGGGGGTGCCACGCCCCCTGCTCTGCTCCTGCTCCTCTCCCGCCTCTGCCTGGACTATGAAACAGCCACCATCTCCTACATTCTCACTCTCACGGATGAACAGTTTCTGGTGCAGGTGACCTGCCAGCTCCCGGCGGGGGTGGCGGGGGGATGCAGGTGGCCAGGCAGTGTGCCCTCGTGGTTAGACCCAGGCCAGCTGCCTGTGCCCAGCTCAACCTCCTCCTTGCCCAGCCTGTGCCCCTGAGCTTCCCCCAGGACCCACTGTCTCTCTGTCCCCTGCATCCCTGGCTCAGGACCAGTCTCCAGTGACGCCTGTGAGCACACTGTGTGCAGAGGCCAGGGAGACAGCACGGCGGCTGTTGACCCACTACGTGAAGGTGCAGGGCCTGGTCATATCACAGATGCTGCGCAAAAGTGTGGAGACGCGGGACTGGCTCAGTACCCTGGAGCCCCGCAACGTCCGCGCTGTCATGAAGCGGGTGGTGGAGGACACGACGGCCATCGACGTGCAGGTGCGGGCCAGGGAGCCCTGCTGCCGGCGGGGTGCTGGGGAAGCGGTCCTCTGAGGGTCGGGACCGCAGGGGCCGGGCAGTACCTGCGCCCGTGGCCTCAGCCCTCCTCCGCCCCGGATTGTGGCGGCATCGCCCCCATTTCACTTGTGAGGAAGCTGAGGCCCAGAATCACCCCGGAAATAAGGGCCTCAGTATTAGCTCTGTGTGTCCCCCCGCCTTTGCCCCACTCCACTAGCTCTGTAAATAGTGACTTGAGTGCTAACTAGGTGAACCGAGCCTGTGATTCTTGTAACAAATATGACTCTTGTAGCACATATGAGTGTGTGACATTGGGCATCCTTGGCCAGAGCACCTGGGGGGCTGGGGGGCTCCTGTGCTCTGTCTCCTTGCAGCGTCCCCTTGCACCCGCAGGTGGGGCTCCTGTATGAAGAGGGTGTTCGCAAGGCCCAGAGCAGTGACTCCAGCAAGAGGACCTTCTCTGTGTACAGCAGCTCCAGGCAGCAGGGCCGCTACGCGCCCAGCTACACACCCAGGTCTGCTGGCCAGGGCAGCCCCTGGGGGAATGGACGAAGGAGAGCGGGGTGCGAGGTGGGCTCTGAATGCTGTTTCCCCCGTGCAGTGCCCCAATGGACACCAACCTCTTGAGCAACATCCAGAAGCTGTTCTCGGAACGAATCGACGTGTTCAGCCCTGTTGAGTTCAACAAGGTCCGGAGTGCGCAGTGAGCCTGCCGTGCAGGGGCCCTGGGGAAGGGTGGCTGGGGCAGTGCTACACGGGCACAGGGAGACTTGGAACTCTGCCCCCAGCCCCTACCTGTGAACGGGGTTTCGAGGAGTAAGTGGTTGCCCAGAGCCCCACCACTACCACCCCATGACCCTCTGCCTTGACCTTGGTGAGCCCCTGGCCTGGTCTGGGTGCTTATCTAGTGTGCCTCTTCGGCCCTTCTAGCACCCACAGTAGTCCTGGGTCCTTCCTGGGGACTTTAGTTCACACCACAGTCTCTGCCGCAGTCCGGCCCGGCCCACTCTGAGGGACCTTGTGGCGTTCTCCTAGCTCAGTAAGCCCCTCTTCCCCTGTCAGTGCTGACCCGGGTCCCGGCCTGCGATTGCAGGGCGTTCCCTGTCCGCTTCCCTCCAGGTGAGGGGCTAGCCTTGTATCCCTCCCCTCTAGAGCTTTCCGCGCCATCACAGCTACTGGCACGTACGGTCTCCCGGGCCCCTGCTGGCGCGGGGCTGCATCCCTGGGTCCTTTCCTGCAGGTGTCAGTGCTGACCGGCATCATCAAGATCAGCCTGAAGACGCTGCTGGAGTGCGTGCGGCTGCGCACCTTCGGGCGCTTTGGGCTGCAGCAGGTGCAGGTGGACTGCCACTTCCTGCAGCTCTACCTGTGGCGCTTTGTGGCCGACGAGGAGCTTGTGCACCTGCTGCTGGACGAAGTGGTGGCTTCAGCTGCCCTGCGCTGCCCCGATCCAGTGCCCATGGAACCCAGTGTCGTGGAGGTCATCTGCGAGCGCGGCTAGGCCCGGCTCTTGTCCTGTCATGCGCGGGCTTGCCGGGCCGCTGCAATCCGCACATACCCTGGCCTTCGCCCGCGTGGCCCTTCCCCTCCAGCCTCGAGACCTTCCTAATAAAGACTCCTCCTCGCTGTCTCCTCGCTCTTGCTTTCCCTGGAGGGCGGGACTGCGGGGGGTGGAGTTTCCAGGCTGAGGCTCATCACTCGGCCTCGAAGCCGGCCTTGGGCTCGCCCCTGAGAGCTGATTGGCTGATGTGCTGGGCCCAGGATGATCCGGGGGGCGGGTCCGTTTAAAGACCCTGGGGCCAGAGCTTTCGTTGTCCGAGCATATCCTAGACAGGTGCAGGTTCCTCGGGGGCCAGATCCCTCTCATTAGCGAGCCCGTCTCCTAGGGGACAGGGTGGGGTGTAATTCTTTGACAGATTTTTGTAAGCCCCATCTCTTGGCGGAGAGGAGAGGAGACCATGGCCCCTCAGGGCTCGCGGGCCCCGCTGGAATTCGGGGGACCCCTGGGTAATGGGGCAGAGAAGGGGGGCGTGGGGCCTGAGGCTCCTCCAGGGAAAACTGGAGGGGTGAGCTACGAGCAGGATGGGGCAGGATCGGAAGGCTTTGTGGGTTATCGGGGGCAGAGCGATGGGGGGCTGTTGGGAGGCAGTGTCTGGAGGGGCAGCTGGAGAAGAAGCGGTCCTGGGGAGTGCCGAGTCCGGGGGGGCAAGAGGGGGGTCTTCGAGGGAGCCTGGAGGCGGGGACCAAGATGGAGGTTAGGGAAGGGGGCTGAGAACGGGGCGATAGGAATGCTGAGGGGCTCCCGGAGACGGCCTGGCGCCTGTGGGGGTCGTGGGCGAGTTGGGGGGTCGGACGCCTGACGCGATCGCCCTCCCCACTTCACCAGGAGCTGCGGCGCTGATGCTGCTGCTCCCTGCCACCATGTTCCACCTGCTCCTGGCGGCTCGCTCCGGGCCGGCGCGCCTCCTGGACCTACCCCTCAACCTGCCGCGACCCGAGGCTCTGTGGAGTCCCCGGGCGCTGCTGCTGTGGTTCACCTGGCTTGGCCTGCAGGCGGCGTTCTACCTACTGCCTGCGCGCAAGGTGTGGACAGGGCTCGGACGCGCGGGGGAAGAAGGTGGAGGGAGGGACTCGGCGAGAAGAACGGCGCCCTCAACCATTGTCAAACCCCTTTGTGCCCGCAGATGGCTGAGGGCCAGGAATTGAAGGACAAGAGTCGCCTGCGCTACCCCATTAACGGTGCCTGGGGCTGGGTCCTTTTGCTGAAGTTGCACGGCGGGGGTGGGGGGGGGCGGCGGGGTGGAACTCCAGGTCTAGCGGGATTAACCCCTGACCCCGACCTCCATTACGCGTCTCTTCCACCCAGGACAGACCTGGGGGGATCTCACTGTCCCTTTGCACACCCCGGTCCCTCCGCCCTCTCCTACAGCTTTCACTGCTACTCTGCACCGCAGCAGCCGCTGAGGTGGTCGTCTGAAAGTCAAGGTGTCAGCTTAATGGCTTGGAATGAAGTCTGTGGCCTCCCTGGGCTTCGAGCTCTGTGTGTGTGTGTGTGTGTGTGTGTGTGTGTGTGTGTGTGTTTGGGGGTGAAGGGGCGCAGTCCCCTGGACTCACTCTGTGCTGTGGTCCAGGCTTCCAGGCCCTGGTGCTGACAGCCCTGTTGGTGGGCCTCGGGGTGCTGGCGGGGCTGCCCCTGGGGGAGCTCACAGAAATGCTCCTGCCCTTGGCGTTTGTGGCCACCCTCACCGCCTTCGTCTTCAGCCTCCTTCTCTATCTGAAGGCTCTACTAGCCCCTGCCTCCGCCCTGGCACCTGGGGGGAACTCAGGTGAGCGGGGTTCCAGCAGGGTGCGGGTGGAAGCGGATGGGGGTGATGGCTTGCACCTTTATCCTCCGTTATTCTCCAGGCAACCCCATTTACGACTTTTTCCTGGGACGAGAGCTCAACCCGCGCATCGGTTCCTTTGACTTCAAATATTTTTGCGAGCTGCGGCCTGGCCTCATCGGCTGGGTATGCTGGGCATGGCTAAGTGGGACTCAAGCCAGCAGGAGGGGTGGGATGGGCGAGCCGTTCTTGGGCAGGGCAGGCCCAGTATTGCACAGACATAAATCACTCATCCTTCAATCATTCCACAAATAGTTGTTGAATCCAACATGTGCCCTAGGTACCGGGATACACAAGAAAAAAATGTACAGAAAAAATAAGGAGTCTGTCCTCACGGAGCCGACGTTCTAGTGGGAAAGGCAGACAAAAAATAAGCATGTACAGTGTATCAGGCTGTGCTGAGTGCTCTGGAGAAAAGATAGCAGGGCGGGAGTCAGGAGAGCAGGTGCAGTTTTAAATAGAGTAGTCAAGCACACAATCTATTTCCAAGAGGAGAGTGATCTTATACTGCTTGTTCGTCACAGCAGTGCAGAACTTAGAACTGATCACTGGGTTTAGCAACCTGTCCATCGCTGACGCGCCAACTGTTTCTTGGTTATATTCAGTGCTGGATTGCGGTTAGGACTTCCCAGAGGTCCCTCATGTCACCCTGGAAACCTTATCCACAGGCAGGAGGAATGTCAAGTGCTGGGGATCTGGGTCCCCGCCTCCAAGGCTATGTCCTGATGTGTGAAGTAGGATAAAGTAAGAGCTTCCTGCTAAGATTATTGCGAGGATTAGAAGTGGTGGCCTAATGGCAGCACCTAGCTCACTGCTACCAGACGAGGGTGCTCTGTACAGCCCGGCTGCCAGCCACCGTGACTGAGCGTGTACTACGTGTCAGACACACTGTGCTCAGCATTTCACACACACACACACACACACACACACACATCATGTCAACGAGTCCTGGGGCAGCTCCAGGAGGCAGGTCCGTAATTACCTCCATTTTCCTCAGAAACAGTAAGCAACTTGCCCAAGTGGGGAAGCTGAGATCAAACCCTGGCCTGTTTTAACTCTCAGGCCTGAAGCGTCCATATACTTCCTAGGCTGCTCTCCCGAAGCGAACGCTATAGGACGAGACAGAACAGTGTGGGAGCGCCTCCGCAGTGGTCCATTGCAGGCTCTCTGCCCTGGGTACAGGGTCTGGGTCCACTTGACAAAGAGCTGGAGAGTTAGTGACTGACAGCTGAGAGAGAGGGAGAGGCAGGAAGGGGCTAACCACTGTGCAACCCTGCCCTGCTCCCCACGGGCTGGGGACAGACTGCCCTGTTTCCCCCAACCCCCAGGTCCTCATCAACCTGGCCCTGCTGGTACAGGATGCAGAACTTCGGGGGAGTCCCTCTCTGGCAATGTGGCTGGTCAATGGCTTCCAGTTACTCTATGTGGGTGATGCCCTCTGGCATGAGGTGAGGTTAGACTGGGCAGGGGAGGCAGAGGAAGTTGCCTGAGGACCTCGTGGAGTGTCTGGGTTGTGTCCCTGCAGGAAGCTGTCCTTACCACCATGGACATCACACACGATGGGTTTGGCTTCATGCTGGCCTTTGGGGACCTCGCCTGGGTGCCCTTCACCTACAGCCTGCAGGCCCAGTTTCTGCTGTACCACCCACAGCCCCTGGAGTTACCCATGGCCTCAGCCCTCTGCCTCATGAACGGTCAGTGAGGAAGGCGCGGCAGGCTGGGGGCATCATTCTCTCTCCTCTTTCATTCATTCACTGTTTATCAGCACCCACTGGGTAGGTGTTAAAAGCCTCAGGCTCTTCCCTAAAGCTAGGGGCTGGGTCCTGGGGTCCAGGCAGCCAGGGTTTGGCTGTTGGGGGCGTGATCAGAGCCAGCCAGAATCTGACCCTCAACCCTGACTGCTCATGCCTTCCCCCAGCTGTTGGCTTCTACATCTTCCGTGCAGCGAATTCCCAGAAAAACACCTTCCGAAAGAATCCTTCTGACCCCCGAGTGGCAGGTGAGCAGGGTTACTAGGGCAGCAAGAGCGAGGTGGGGCAGCTGGGCTTCCTGGGCCTCACCTATCCCACTGCCTGTCTTTCCCCAGACCTCGAGACCATCCCTACAGCCACGGGGAGGCAGCTGCTTGTGTCTGGGTGGTGGGGCATGGTCCGCCATCCCAACTACCTTGGAGATCTCATTATGGCTCTGGCCTGGTCCTTGCCCTGTGGTGAGTGGCTTGGGTTGGTACAGGGCAGGGCAGCATGTGTGTGGCACAGAGACGGACCGGTAACCACAGGATACCCAGTCTGGGTGTGGAGATCGGGTGCCCTACAGTGGAGGCAGCTGGACGGGAGATGGACTCGGGATGTGGCTGGGCCGACCTCTGTGCCAGCCTCGCCCCGCTGGCCCTTGCTGCAGACGCCGGACCTTTCACCACTGAGTCCTAATGCCCCCACGAGCCATCAGGTGTACAAACCTTTGTGAACTGGGGAGGGGGGTGCTGCCTGAGTGGTCACAGAGCCCCCCCCGCACCCTACAGGGGTATCCCACCTGCTGCCCTACTTCTACCTCCTCTACTTCACTGCGCTGCTGGTGCACCGTGAGGCCCGGGATGAGCAGCAGTGCCTGCGGAAGTACGGCCTGGCCTGGCACGAGTACTGCAGGCGTGTGCCTTACCGGATCGTGCCCTACGTCTACTGAAGTGCTGGCCCTACCCACCCCAGGTCGGGGCACGTGCCCGTCTGCCAGGAACCTGGACGCACCCAAGACTCAAAAGCTTGTACTCAGTCCTGCCCTGAGCTCCAACAGGCAGGATGAAGAGCCTCAGAGAGGTGGTTTGGAGCAAGGAGAAAATGAAGACAGTACCCCAAACCACGAGTGGAGGGGTTGCTCTCACGTCTCTGATAAACACCAGGAGCCCTTGGTGTCACGTTTCTCCCTTTCTGGGGCAGGGGCACTTAGAAACTGGGCTGGGTCGGCCCTACTCCTCAGGGAGCAGCTGAGGGACGATTTGTGGGCCCAAGAGTCTGGGGTTGGGTGGGGACAACAGCGGTCTCAGAAATGGGCAATGCTGACAGGGCGGAGAAGTCACGGCTTTATTGACAGGGAGTGCACAGCTCAGCCAGGCAGCTCCTCAATGAGAGTCCTTGGGGCAGGTGGCAGGGGACCTCCCCACAGCCGCTCCAGCTCCCCGGTGAGGGCTGCCACCTCCTCGGCTGCTACCGTGTGAGCTCGGTGGGCTCTGGCACAATCCAGAGCCAGGGCTGGGAGGGCCACCTCATTTTCGTTGGTCCAAGCCAGCAGGAACTGGCACTTCTTCCGGGCTCGGTAGAGGCGACCTCGCTCTTCAGTGGTCTCGGCCTGTTTTCGGGCCCGGCCCAGGGTCTGCACCAGGTGCCCCAGTGCTGCCAGCGTGTGGCCCTTCCGGTCGGCAGGGCCCTCACCCAGCAGGATGCGAGCGGCCTCGCGCATGGCACCCCATGTGCCCAGGGGCCCGGGTGGATGCTCACCCCCTTCCAGCACGTGAGCTGCGGCTAGCAGGGCTTCTTCGGCAGAGGCAAAGACTTGCTGGGCGCCCAGGGCCCCGGAAACGCCGAGCAGCGTGGCACAGAAGTCGGAGAGCAGCGCGTCGTCGCCTCCGTGATACAGGGCAAGAGTGTGTGCATAAGCGAACAGCACGTTGGGCAGCTGGAAGCGAACGAGCGGCGAGGCCCGGCCGCGGCTCAGGCTGGCCAGCGTGGGGATCCGGGTGGGCACGGCGGGCGTGCAGGCCCCCAAAGAGTCTCCGAGATCGCTCTCCTCGGCGGCCTGGGCCTCCGCGGCAGCGGCATCTTTCGCGGGTCCGGTTGGCTCTCTCGCAGAAGCGGGCTCCAGCTCCCCGGCCTCACCGCCCGGGGTATCATCCAGCTCCTCCAGAAGTCGTGGCCCGGCCCCGCGACCCCACCACCACGGCCGCCATGGGGGCAGCAGCCGCCCGGCCTCGCCACGGTTCAGCAGCCGCTCGAAAGCCGCCTTCTCGGCCGGGGCTAGCCGCTCCCAGAGTCCTACCAGGCCACCGGGCGCCGGGCCAGGTCCGAGGCCTGCGTCCTGCGGCTCGTCCTCGGTCTCGCGTTGCTGACGCAGGCGGCGGAGGGCGCTGGCTAGGCGGCTGGGAGAGGCGCTGCGGCCGCGGAGTTCTCCCAGCACCTGGTCCCGGTAGAAGCCTTCGGCACAGGTGCCATGCGCCCGGTAGCAGCGCAGTGAGCAGTAGGGCACATTACAGCGCGGGCAGGTGTAGCGCGCCGCCCGGGCCTCCCCGGCCGGGCAGAAAGCGCAGGGCCCGGCCGGCTCCATGGCAACCGGCACCGCGCGCCACCCGCGAGCGCGCGGGGACTGCGGCTCCGCAACTTCCGGCGCTCCCCGGTTACTTCTTCCTCTCTCCGGAGCCTACGGAGTCCCCAGTCAAAACTCCCCGAAGACTCTCGGCAACTCCCGCCCACACTCGGAACACGAGCGCCACCCCTTTCTCTAGAAGCGCTCGGGCGGGGCTGGAGCGGGGCGTGACGTCGAGCCCGGCCCTGCGCGGTGTGAGGTAGGATGGCGCCCTCCGCTGGGGCCAGCTCGCCCCCTGGCGGTTGCCGTCTCAGCACTATAAATCGAAGAGGCAGAAACCCATCTTTGCTAAGCATCTAGTCTGGGTTCTTGTGCCCGGACCAAGGGAGGTGAGTGCGTCCCTCCGTTGCAGGGGCGGCCATTCTACTAGGCGTCACAGACAAAAGGGAGAGAATGGAAGGGCCCAGGTGGGGTAACTAGCCCATGCTGGCTGTCTTGGGGCATTTTCCCTCTTCAAAACAGCAACTTTTTAACAAATATCTGAGCTCCTGTTTGATTTTCTCCTCCAAACCTATCCTTTATCCAACTTTAAAGTGCAGATTCCATACGAGGCGCCAAAAATACATTGAGCCGAGGCAAGGTCCTATCATAGGGCAGCTTACGGCTTCCGGTAGAGTGGGGCAGTGACCCACAAACCTGAGTCGATCCACGGAAGCCCTGAAAGCTCTGGTTCTTCGGCCCCTCACATCCAATCTCACCTAGTCAGTTCTGCCTTCAAGCTACCTTGTACTTATTTCAATACGGGTCCTATTTCCCTACTAAGATCTATATGAATGTAATGACCTTCACGTCTGTTTTTTTTTTTTTTTTTTTTTTAAGCGCGAGTTGGTTAGCGAAGTGGTGACAGTCAAGTATGTTCGTTTTTTTAACATGCCCGCCACTGCTGGTGGTCTAAGTTCCTTGCCCCTCAACTGGATGACTCAACCTTTACTGGTTTCCTAGTTTTCTTGCCAGTCCTCCAGAAAAATCAGCCAGAGAAAATATGACCACAAAGCCTTTCCCTGCCCTTGGTGATTCTCCACTGCATTTGGACCCAAATTCCTTCCCATGTGTGACTGCAGCTCTGTCAGCTGGAACTCACCATCTGCCCACCTGATTGGCTCGTTGCAGGTTTCACAACATGTCTTCAGAGGCCTTTCCAGATAGTGTGACTGTATCCAAACCCCCTTCATTACAGCACCCTACTGACCTCCTTTGAGGCTATTAACACTCCCAGTTTCCTCACGTGAATCCTGACATATAAATTCCTAGAAGGGAGGAGGCCAAGTCTTTCTAACCAGAGACAAAAACAGCCAATATGTTTGTACTTACTATGTGGCAAGTGCTGATCTAAGCACTTTGCATCCTTTATTTAAGCCTAACAGCAACTCTCAAGAGACAATGGATTCAACAGCAGAGATTAAATAGATATAAACGGAATAAGGACCCAAACTCAAGGCAGTCCAAGTCTAGAGCCCAAGGTCCTTCTCCAGGAAGCAGCAGGTTCAAGAGCATCAGCCGAACCAATGTGTGAGTATGCACTAGTTACTAGCAGAAACCCTGAATCAGTCCCAGAAAACTCCCCTTTCTGGGAACAGTGAAGCCATCAACTGACTGACCTCAGCTGGGATTAGGTTGACAGGACCCGCCATGTGATTGGAAGTATGAACAAGGTCAACATGAAGCCAGTGTGACCTGACAATACTTCCCAGAACTGGTGCACACCAAGTTTCTGCCCTGGACTCCACACCACAGCCACAGCCCGTCCCAGCTTCAGGGAAAGGCCATACGGGCATCCCGACATTTCTCCCACCAGAATGCCTCCCTCCTATAGCGCCCACCATGAGACACCCACCACAATGAACCTTACCTCCTGGTTTAAGAATAACAGAATAATAAAAGAACACAAAGATTTGGGGGAATCACCAAGTTACCTGAGTGCAGAAATTTCTCCACCTCTACATTTGAGAGACTGGCATGTGTTTCTACTGGTTTTCATGGGAAGCCTTTTCTTACAGGTTACCACTTCAACCCAAGCCCCCTCCCCTGCTGCCAGTCAAGGGCCTCTGCCATCCTCACTTGACACTGCCAAGAAACCCCAGAGACCTCGCTGCTGTAGGGGGCACGCCGCCAGCCCTCGAAGCCCTCTCTCCCCCTAAGGCCCTGCAAATGAAGATGAAACAAGAGGACTGGACTAAGTGGCTTTATTGGGGAAAGCCAGGATGACAAAGGACTTAAGAGTTGGCATTGGGGCCCTTCTTCTTGCCAAAGGTGGGCACAACATTGACAAAACGCCGGTTGTACTGCATCCGCCGCTTGGCCCGACCAGTCTTCTTCTTCTTCTTCTCCTGTTTGGCCACCTGGAGAAAGGGAAGGCCGATCAGACCCTGACTGGCTCTCTCTTCCATGTCTTCCCTCGAGCTCATCTCCAGGGCGGGAGAAGACAGGTCAAGAGCCAAGGGTCTTGACTTATTTGTGATACGAAAAAACGACTCTCCCTTACCTTGGGGGTCTGACCTCTTACTTTCCCAGCACGGGCCAGGGAGCCATGGACTTTGCCTGCAGCGGAGAAAGAGAACAGCAAGCAGTCAGGAGTGCAACAAGGCCCCACCTGGCAGATTTCCTTCTCCCTCAACTCGAGCCTTTGAAGCTGGGCGGCCTAACAGGGGATAACGAAGTCGCAGAGACTGCACAGCCATCTGACCAAGAATGCTGGTCTGGTATGTTCTGGGTTTCCCATCAGGACTTTGAAGCCCCTCACTTTAAACAAGAACTGGAGACCACCTGGGGACCTGATTTTAGTGAGGAAACTGGGAAACTGACAGGGATCTGGTGAGTGAAACAGAACTGTACTCCGGCTCAATGTTCAAACCTCTCAAGAGTTAATTCTGAGGTAAACAGGAAGAAAGCACCCTGAATTGAGGATTCCGATCTCCACGATCATTATGTGTTGACAAGCAGGTCAAAGAACGGTCCTCTCCAACTCACCTCCCAGCATGCGGCCGGCTACTTCCAGAGTGGTTAGAGACTCCACCCCACACTGGCCCAGGGTAGCCTCATCCTCCAGGGGCGTGCCTGCCAGGAGCACCACTTGATCTTCTGGAGCGATGCCCTCCAGCGAGGCTACATGAGCCTACAGGCAAAAGTGAGGTTCATCAGCCTTCCCGCAGGAAGCGAGATGAAAGGACAGAAGGGTGCCCGGGGCGTGCCACGCAGGCTTACCTTGATCTGGGCGACAGTCTCCTGGCCGGTGACCTCGAGGGTGTGGAGCTTCTGGGCGCGGACAAAAAGCTGCATGTCGGCAACTGAGAAAAAAAATGCTTGTAAGAGAAAAAATATCCCAGGAGACAGGGAGTTCGGGAACCGGTGGCAGGCCGGGGGCGATCGCGGATCTCACGTGGGTAAGACCGGGCCTACCCACCAGGGGGGGCGGATGGGGACAATAATTCGGCACACATAGCAGCCCCTATTCTTTAATTTCCCCCGCGCCCGCAGCCAACCCGCCTACGAAACCCTTCACATTCAACCGTGCCACCAAACTCACCTGAACTGCGGCCCCGGCCGCTACCGCGAAGATGGAGTCGAGAAAGAGGAAGGAGCAAGAGCGAACACGTACTAGCCGATTGCTGCGTCCTACGTCACTGCTGAGCGACGACTGGGGCCTCTGCTATTTGTACCGCCCACGGCCGCCTTAGCTCCGCCCCCTTACGCTCGCAGAAACGTTCTTTCCTTCGGGAGAGGCGTGCTGAGGAAGGGGCGGGACCAGGATGGTTGCGCGCGCAGAGAGCTAATATACGGGAGAGTTCAACATGGCGGCGACCATGTTCCGTGCTTCGCTGCGGGGTTGGAGAGTCGGTGTCCAGCCGGGCTGCGGGCTACGGCGGCAGGTGAGAGCAGGAGGTTGGCGCTGAGAGCAGAGGGCTGGGTGTGAGGCTCACTGTTATTCCATGTAACTTTGCAAGTCGCTTTCCTACTTGGGGCCTTAGGTTCCCCATCTGACCAGGGAGACCTTTTCTGTAGTTGAGATTCTAGACTGAGAAGGAAGGTGACAGGGACTAGTGTGAGGCCTTGGAACCTGATTGGAGGACAACCCTGGCTAGTCAGAACTGGGAGGGGCTGCACGTCGACCCTCGCTGTCTAGTGTTTTGAAGGGGAAACCGGTCCGTAGGGTCCAGAGGTCGGCCCGCTTCTGAGAACCTAGAGCTCATGACATAACAGAGCCTTTGCTTTATCCTGCGTCCCTGTGCCCTTTGTAACCCCGGGGCCGATCAGGCCTCCAGGGTATTTGTGGGAAAAGTGTCCAAGAAGGATCTTAAGGCTGGAGGATGGGAAGAAAGCCTCCGGAGTATGACCTTAGGGGGAGTGCTTAATGTCTTAGTCTTCCTTGGATTCAAAAAATGTGTAATAAAATACGTAGCTTGTGGCATTGTAACAATTAAGTGAGTGCTTGGTGGTGTCTGTCCAAATGAGGCTGAAACCTTCCAGGTAAGAGAGAATCATGTCAGGTGACGGCAGAGGAAAACTATCACAATTGCTGAAAGTGCCTAACCCAGAACTAGAATATTTCAGTAGAACGTGAAGGTGAAACTTCAATCCTGAAATACACTATGTTGGTCAGAGTCCCAGTTAATTGACTTTTCAGAAGTATACACACACTTGTCATTTGAGCCCCAAGACAGGCAGGCTCCTCAGAATGCTTGAACTTCTTTCCCAGTCCCACCTGCGCCAGGATAAATTGAAGTCTGGTGCTTTTTCGTCTCCAGCCATTTGTGTGTGCCATTCTCTCGGCCTGCAGTGTTTCCTTCCTCTGATTACTGAAGTTCTGTCTGTCCTGTGTTGGGTGGGTAGTGAGTGGGCTAATGGAGAGATGGGGCTTTTTGTTTTTGCTTCAGAGCCAGAGCAAGGGACCTCCCGATTACCCCAGCTTTGTGGAATCTGTGGATGAATACCAGTTTGTGGAGCGCCTGTTACCCGCCACCAGCATCCCAAAGCCCCCAAAGCATGAACATTACCCTACTCCTAGTGGCTGGCAGCCCCCCAGAGGTGAGCTGGATAATGGGGATGGCGTGAAGGCTGCCGGGAAGTACCCCTCCTTAGTGGTCAGCCTGCCCCAGCTGAGATTCTGAACTCCTCAGTGGGTTCGGGATTCGCGTTGAGATCTCTCAAGGCTAGCATCCATCTCATGTTCATGGAAGGGCCCAGGACTGGAGCCCTGTGTTACAGATAAACATCCACCCACACGGTTGGGATAAGGTCTTCCCATGCAGGAGAAGTGAAGCATAGAGGGAAGACCCAAGAGCTTGGACCACCCCCAACTCCCTTGCCCCAACACACCCGTAGGCCATGTATCGTAATACGGCTTGGGAGCTGGGCAGTTCTGGGTCCAAATTGGGCTCTGCTCTTCACCGCCAGCGTGATCTTGTGTCAGCTTCTCCCAAGTTTCAGCAAAATGGAGATGATCTCCTTGGCACATAAAACAGTGCAGAGTCCGGCATGTGGTCGGTGTTCAGGGCTTTTAAATTCCATCCCTTCGGGCCTGAGATTTCACTTTAGTCTCCTTGACCCAGAGGAGAAAGGCAAGAATTGGTCCCCTAGGGGGAGCCAGAGATCCAGGGAGGTCCTGACTTCATTTCTTCTTGAGCACCTTCTGGTGCCTGGTCCTGTGCTGGGCCTTGGGTATCAGTGTCCTGGCAGTAAAGGTGGGGAAAGAGCAGGTCTCCTGACCTGAGATCTGGATGAGGCTTTGCCATCACTGCATTTACCCTGTGCTGCCGTGGGATGAAGCCTGGGAAGGTTTAGCTCATCGCTGTCCTCCCTGTCCCAGACCCTGCACCCAACCTGCCCTACTTTGTACGGCGCTCTCGGATGCACAACATCCCTGTCTATAAGGACATCACGCATGGCAACCGCCAGATGACTGTGATCCGGAAGGTGGAGGGAGATATTTGGGTAAGTGCGTGGGCGGTCAGGGTGTGACTGTGACCCTTCCAGGGCTGAAGACCTGGGAGTCCTCCAGAAGTGACAGTTCTGACCAGGCTTGCTTTGTTATCTTCCCCCAGGCCCTGCAGAAGGACGTGGAAGATTTTCTGAGCCCACTGCTGGGGAAGACACCTATCACCCAGGTCAATGAGGTGACAGGCACCCTGCGGATCAAGGGCTACTTTGACCAGCAACTAAAAGCCTGGCTCCTGGAGAAGGGCTTCTAGACCTAGCCGAGCAGCCTGCGCGACAGCATCCCCCACAGATGGGGTCCAGGGAGTCTCGGGAGGAGGGAGGTGGGTGCTGCAGCAACTAGGATGGGGGTGCAGAGACCCGGGCTAAGGGCTGGGGCAGGGTAGAGTGAGGGCTAAAGGGCCACGGAGCTTGCCTGCATGAAGGGGGAAACAGGACCATCTGCGCAGGCGCCAGCACTCGGAGAGGCCTGTGTGACACTGGAGACCCACCAGAGCAGGGGTGTCAGGCTCATTGTCACCGGGGGCCACATCAGCCTCACGGTTGCCTTCAAAGGGCCGAATGTAATTTCAGGACCGTATAAATGTAACTACCCCTTAACAGTTAAGCGAGAGCTCGGCGCTGCTGCCTAGTAGAAATGAGGTGCCTGGCTGGATAAAACAAGGTGGAAGGCCGGATTCAGCCCGTGGCCCTTGTGTTTGCTACCTGTGCACCTGAAACAGCCGAGCTAGTGGGGACATTAGTTGCTTTCTCCCGCCACTACCATCCCTGATTTTGGTCTGTTCCTGCCTTTTCTTTTTTAAATCCTTACCTGAGGACATGCCTATTGAGTTCGGAGAGGGGAAGGGAGAGAAACATCCATGAGAGAGGAACATCGGTTGCCTCCTGCGTGTCTCCCAGTGGGGGACTGAACCCACAACCTAGGCATGTGCCCTGACCCAGAATCGAACCCATGACCTTTCACTGTATTGTACGACCCTCCAACCAATGGAGCCACACCAGCTAAGTCTGTTGCTGCTTTTTCTTCATCGGGGCTCCTTGGGCTCAGCTATTCAAATGCTGGAGGTTGTTGACTGCCCCTCTGGCGAAACCAGTGGCCCAGCCAAGTTCGGGGAACGGCAGCACAGGACAGACCCGCTGGGCGTCTGCCTTCCTGGGCCCTCCAGACTCCCCGCTGCAAAGGTTCTCAAGCCCTTGCTCTAGGCCAGACCTGGCTTGTTGGAGGCGACGGAGAATGCAGGTGAATGGCATGGGCCTAGGAGTCTTCAGTTCCAAGGGCAGTGCTGGGCACTGTGCCCACGTCAGACCTTGGGCTCGTTCTTTCTGCCCACGGTGAGGTAGAAGGCCCACTTACCTTGGCTCCATCCCGGACCAGGGTTGAGCCTGATGGGGTTTCCAGCTCCAGGAATCTAAGTGATAAGCTGTAGCTGGACTGCCCACAAGGGGGTGTTTGGGAGCTCCCAGCAGGCCAGCACTGGGCCTGCTTCCCAGTGGGCTGCCCTGGTATTAAGGGTGGACAGGGGATTTGCAGGCAGGAAGCTGGCCTTTTGTCCCTGCCACCCCACCCCACCCCCAGCTAATGGACCTCACCCTTGGTCTGCCACAAGGGCCAGAGCCCTGAGTTGCCACCCCTACCCCAGCATCAGACTGGCTAAGATAGGGTTCAGAGCCTGCTTCCCCTACTTGGTCTCTAAACTCCTTGTGTCTCAGTTTGTGTGTAATATGGGTATCTCTCAGACAAGACCAGGCACGTGCAGGGTGGTGTGGCCGTAGATGACATGGGTGTATCTTTCTAACAGGTGAGCGTGCCCAAGGGCAGTGCTGGCTTGTGTTAATAAACCCTCCCTCTGGGAGGGTCCAGGCCACGAGTCTACAGCCCGAGGAAGGATCCCGGCTCACTGACGCTGACACCAGCTCTACCAATTGTTAATGCGAGTTTTTATTTGGCTGTATATACAATTCAAGCTATTAAAATTTGTACAATATTTACAAATTAAATAATCATCTGAAACTCTTCTGCAACTCACGTAACACAAAACCAAGGGGAAGAAGACGGGGCCGGGCAGGCCTTGGCTCCCGTGGAGACTGTCCGGCCCGGAGCCTTTTCTGACCTGGAAAGACCAGGAACCTGGTGTTGGTGTTTCTGTTTCCAGGGTCAAGCATTCAAATTCAAAGACAAGATTTAAGCTGAAGGAAATAGCAAGGAAGTTGTTCCAATTCTTCTAAACTCAAAAGTAGTTCTGTACGTTGAGAAGTGGCCCCCGTACGTTCCGGGGTTTGCAGTGGCTCCGGAGCAGACACACGAGCCCTTGGCCTGGAGGGAGGCTGGGCAGTGGCTGCTGGCTGAGACCAGGGGCAGCCTCACTTCAGACCAGCTACAGGGAGAGAGGGGCCTTGGGGGTGGGGGGCAGTGTCCCTTGGTGCTGCCCTCTTCTCTGCCCCCAGGCATTCCTTTCCCTGAGTTGTGTGGTTGACAGTAAGACATGGAAATGTCACGCGGCATAAGGGACACAGCCACCACCACAAAAGGGCTTCCAGGGAGTTTAGGGTAAGAAAGGGACATTGGTACCAGTCTCGGTTGGAGCCAGGGAGCAGGTTCCCGGCTGCCCCCGGCCCCTTGAGCCCACACTTGGGAATGGGAGCTAATACTGTTCAGCCCTGCAGCACGGCTCCAGACACACAAGCTGGGCTCGGAGGCGCCGCCCCCTCCCACTAAGGGGCGGGGGGGCAGCGGGCTTTCGGAGGCTGTGCTGTTCTGCCTTCACGGCCCCAGTGGAACACGGGGCCGCTGGGCTGGGGAAGAAGGGTGAGACTGACCCACAGCCCCCATGGCTGCCCAGGACTAGGAGGGCTGGAGTCGGCTGGGGCCTTAGGCCTCTTTCCACTTGGCCTAGGGGATGCCACCTGCTCCGTCTCAGAGCTGGGGGTACTGCTCCCTGGTACAGACAGGGAGGGCACTGGCACTTGGTGGCGGACATGTTCCAGCGAGGGCTGCTGAGAGTGGGAGCAGGGGCCAGGACCGGGGCAGTGTCAGTGGGCAACAGGCGACTCCAGCTTTTGTAGACGGCGGCGACGGAGCTCTGCTGCATCAGGCTCCCCATCCTCGGGCAGCTCCTCGGTGCCCACCGACTCGGGAGCTGGGGACCGAGAGGTCACAAGTGGAACACGGAGACGTCCCCCACGCACCCTCCCCCGCCCTCCGGAGGCTGACCACAACTACCTGGAGGCTTTTCAGATTCAGTGGCTGGTGGGGAAGATCCCGGGGACGGGGCGGTGGCCTCAGAGCTGGAGCTGCTGGTAGAAGAGGCAGCAGCGACCACTGTAGGGGCAGTCTCCTCAGTGGGGCTGACGGAGGGGGCAGGCCGGGGAGGCCTAGGGAGAGAAGGGACAAGAGGTGGGCGCAGGTCTGACATCCTGGCATGCCCGGGCAGATTCCCCTGTCCGCGGTTAGCTTTGCAAAACAGAGTCCAGCGCCGATGGCCTTTGCAGCCCAGGGACCACCCGATAGAGTCGCCGCACACAGGCCTTCCTGTGACCCTACACCCCGGCCGACCGTAAACCACGTGGAGGCAGGGACGCAGGCCTGTTCACTGCAAGGCCTCCGCCCTGGGGCATCAGGCACCTTTTAAAAGGAACCTACGGAGCATCCCACAGAGCACTCCGGCCTCAGACTCCAGCCCCCGTCCACGCCTGTGCCCTCCTCGTTGGGTGCCAGGCACTGTGGATGTGTGAACAGGAACGAGAACCCCTTCTACTCAAGCAAGGTCACGGTGGTCAGAAAGCACGTGAGTGACGGACCAGGACCTGAACCTGAGCCAGGCTGGCTCCAGTGACCACCTTTACTTGCTGTCTCAGGTCGGGGCCACTGATTTCCAGTCACAGGGTCACCACGTCAGGAGGGTGTACGTGATGAACTAAAACACTGAGCATTACGAGTAATCTGACTTTACAAAAGTGTCAAGTGACAAGAGTCAGAGTCAGCTCTCTAGTAACCCTCACTCCTACTTATCCAGGCAGGCCTCCCGCAGAGGGAGGACCCAAAGGCACCAGGAGCCCTCAGCGCCAGGATGTGCCTTCAGAGAGGTGCCCTGCACCAGCAGGTGTCAGGGTGACAGAAGAGAAAAAGGCCAAGAACTGCCGCTGGGAGCCGCCTCCAGGCAGCTGCATGCCCCTGCTGCCCGCTCTGGTGCCCTGGGCTGACGTACCCCAAGGAGGCGAGCACAGTGAGGTACTGGTTGATTTGCAGCATGGCGGCGTCCAGCAGCGTGTGGATGTTGCGCAGGCTCTGCAGCCGAGCCTCCAGGTGCTGCTGCTCGTGGCCTTCTAGAGCCCGCAGCTCCTCCGGGGTCAGCCCCGCAAAGCCAGCAGGGGGCACGGGCATTGGTGGGAAGGCTGGAGAGAGGTGGAGACTAAGCATGGGTTGCCTGGGCAATACACCCCCTGCCCCAAGAACACTCCTGAGTGGCCCTGCTTACCAAAGGGTGGTGGCAGTGGCATGCCCATCCAGGGAGGAGGGAAGGGGAAGCCCGGGGCGGGGGCAGCCTCAGAGCCAGGGGCAGAGCCAGGTGCCTGGGCAGAGGCGGCAGAAGCAGCTGCAGTTGTGGCTGCTCCGCTGGGCCGAGAGAGGGCTGCTGAAGAGCAAGAACAGGAAGTCAGTGAGCGCCCAGGGCCTCTGCTTCCATCCCTCCCACCCCCTGGCCGTCGAGGCGCCCCAAAGGCTCACCTGCACTGGTGGATGGAGGGGCCGCAGCCTCTCCTGAGCTGGGGGGAGGCGGGACGGGTGGAAAGGGGCCCATGGGGGGCCACAGCGGGAACATGCCTGGAGGAAAGGGAGGCAGGAGGCCCTGGGGAACTGCAGAGAGAGGACAGGAGGTCGTGAGAAAAGGTCCGAATCACAGGTGAGGGGCTGGGTGTTGGGATCCACGTCCTCTGCTCCCGCAGGTCCTTTCTGAGCTCACAGCTGACCACAGGACCCCCCGCCCCAGACTGAGCTCCTGTCGGGCAGGGACTCTGACTCCCCTCAGTATTTCCCATTCCCAGCCCAGGGCAAGTATTCGGCGGTATGGTAGTTGGCCAAACGGGGGGCCACTCACAGTTGGGAGGCTGGGGCAGGAGTGGCGGGGGGTGGGCGGCAGGTGGTGGCCCCTGATCCGCAGGCTCGGGGGGTGGCGGGGACTGGGTTGGCAGCGACGCACGAAGGACATCCATACGGCAGGTGGGGCAGGTCTGCTGCCGCTGGAACCAGGAGCGCAGGCAGCTGGGAGTCAAGACCGGGCGGTGGTCAGCACGCCCCTCGGGGCCCGCCTCCGCGAGCCTGTGCCCGACATGCAGGCTCCCCGGGGCCCCCCCACCTGGTATGGAAAATGTGGTTGCAGGGCAGTCTCTTGGCCCCTGTCACCATCTCTTCCCGACAGATGATGCAGACGTTGTCCATCGCCTGGAGCTCCTCTGGGGTGGCATCTGGGTACCTGAGCAGGACAGGCCAAGGGCATGTCAGGACCGGGGCTGGAGGACGGAGGACCACAGCTGGGGCAGAGCCTAGGAGAGCACCCAGGGCAGGCCGCTTACAGTGTGTTCATGTTACGGATAGCGCGGCGAGACATGATGGCGTCTGTCACAGCTTTCTTGAACTGCCTGAAAGGACAGTTTCGGTGACGGTTGGGAGAGGGAGAGGAGAGGGAGGGGCGGGATGAGAAAGGCAGGGCTGTGGCGGGCACGGCTCACCTCATGGCCAGGTACATGGGCCGGATGGCGAACAGGGGGAAGGTGTGCACCTTGATCATGATGGTCATGAAGGCCATGTAGAGCAGCACCTTGATGAAGCCTGGGCGGGGGTGGGGGGGACAGAGAAAGGCCGGTCACGGGTCTGTGGGGCAGAGCGGGGACGATGGCCCGGGGCAGGGGAGGCCCAGGCCCCTCTCACCTGTGAACAGCTCTGTGTAGAGCATGTACACGGCCTTATTGTCCCAGGGGTTTTCGCTCTGGAGGTCCACGGAGTGCAGCACGTACTTGATGAAGATGGTGAGCACCATGGTCATCAGGATGGCGTACTGGGGGGAGGAAGGGCGGCGGTGAGCACACGGCGTGTCCCTGCTCCAGCCACGCCGCTGCTCCCAGGCCCCTGCACAGCAGGGTGCGAGAGTACAAGCCACGGGCGCGGACACAGCTGGGGCCTTCCCAGCCCCTCCACTCACTAGCTGGTGCGACTTTTGGCGACCCGATGGGCCTCTCTGAACTACAATGTGCTTGACTGTAAAACAACAAAGAATTAACTGCTTTGCTGATTCAGAGACGCACGGGGCAGGCACTCAGCACCAGGCCTGGCATCCACGAAGTACTCAACAACTCGGGCTGCTGTCGACTAGCACGTCCCTCCCCCACCAGGGCCCTGCACACTAATCCCTTCTGTCCCTCCACGGCCAGCTCCTCTGGCACCAGCCTCCAGGAAGCCCTCCCTGAGCGCCAGGTCGGGGCTCCTCCCCCACAGGCGCCTCCTCCTGTGCCTTCCCCACTCTCCCCGGCTGAGGGTGCAGAGGGCTCGGAGTGACCGATGACTGCTCCTTGGTGGCCCGCGTGGGGCTGGCCGCAGAGCAGGTGCTCGATAAGCGTTTGTGGGGTTATTCGAGGCACGTGCAGTGCCACCTCAGGCTTGTCCTCCCAACCTCCCAGGCCAGTTTTACCTCAAAGCCAAACACCAGCTGCACGGAGGCCCCTCGGGTCAGGACGCTGTGATAGGCATGGCTGACGAAGAGGAAGTCCAGGATACCCAGGAGGAACATAAGGGCTGTGGGGACCCCCGAAATGGGGGTTGGAGGGGTCAGCCCAGGGCCCGGCAGCCACACCTATTCTAAGATAGCTCCTGCCCTCAAGCCCACCAAGGCCCCAGCCTGTAGCCAAGTGAGCACACCACTGCACCCGGCCCCCTGGGAACTCCAGTTCTGCCTAGCGGGGCACTGGGGCAGCCCGAGCTCCTGTTGAGGGGGCAAAGAGCTGAGGGG